GGAAACACAGGCAGCTTTGTTTAGTAGTTGGTCTTAAAGGGACACCCGCTCAAGAAGAAAGGGAACAAAGGCACAAATGGGGGGAGTGTCTGGGTAAAGTCGGGACTTGGAAGAACTGGGAGCTCTATGATAGTCTTCAGAAGAGTGTTGGGGTCCCATCCAATTCCCGCTTTGAAGCTGAAGGAAATGTTTCTTGTTGCCTGAAGCAAACGGTGCGCGGGACACTGCAGGGCTTGAGATGTTGGAGGATCCCTGGCCAGCGAGTTTTGTTCCAAGGTCAGACTCGTGTTTTCTCAAAGAAACTAGGATGGATTCCATAGCAAAATATTGAAAGGATGTCTAAATGGACCTCAGACCCATCTAGACAGCCTGAACCCAAAAGGGGTACCCGCAAAAAAGGCACAGGGAGGTTTGGGGAAGATCAGAGAGCCCCCCAGGTGCTCATCGCGCTGAGCATCATGATCTCCGCCGGCGCCCGAGAGCAAGGGTCACCTCCGTTGGGCGGCCCGAAACGAGGCGCGAAAACCGGCCTTGTCGGAAACCGGAAGTAGGACCGCAAGGACTTAAGTGTGTTTGTTTGTTTTCGTGTTGGTTGTTTTTGTTTCTTTTATTTCCAGGAAAACCTAGGGGGGATGTTGGAAAGGCATTTGCAAGAGCCCAGGAAGATGTGTTCCCAGTGTCCAAAGCTTGGCCGTTGGTGTCGCGTCAAGATGCAGGAGCCCCCCAAACAATTTGAGGTCCTTTTGAAGCCCCATGAATGAAACCTCAAAAAAGGGGTCCCCGAAGAAAGCACCACAAGCGTGTCTTGCACTCCGTCGATTCCTTCGAGGCCTTGAGCTTTGGATCTGATCGCCGCGAAGGGTCTGGCGCTCAAGCTGTTTCGCTCGACTGGCTCGTCGGTGCGGTCGGCTCGGTTTGAATCCCCATGGATTCCAGGGGCATCGGTTTGGAGCGATTTTGATGTGCGAGTGGAATCCGTTTATCTTTCCCAAACGATAGCTAGTGGAATTAGTTTGACTGTAGTCGTTTGTTGCTTTTCGTTCCAAGAGGACAGCAGGTGTTGAACTAGGAGTTTTCCAGACATGAGCTCAAATACAGTCGTCCAAGGGGATGATTTTGCCTCACGCCAAAGCACAATTTGGACATTCGGGACTGTTACTCGCCGGATGTCCATGTCCAATGCACGGCATTGAATTTGCACCGTCACTCATAGAACCGATTCCCTTCCCATGGAAAGCCCCTGCTTGGCATGATGAGCTCCTCTTTGCTGTTTGCACCGCTCCTTCTTTCCTATGGGGCGCTCACAAGAACCGCAATGACACAGATTCAACAAATCGGTCCTTGACCAGAGGAATTCGACCCAAATCCGTGAGGCATTCCAGGATGTTGCTGAGGCGCGTTCCTGCGATTGCCCGCGGGTTTTCATGGAAAAGCACCAAAACCCCTTGGCATCCACACTCGCTGGATGTCAAGTGTCCACGCTGTTTGCGCCCTGCGCTGTCAGCGCCATGAGCTTGGCGCAGCGGAACACAGGTGCTGACCTTTTTTGAATCAGTTGAACATCAAGTGGAAGTAAGTGTCGACCCTCGTCAAAGGAGAGAGCTCGATATATTTTCAGCGAAAGACAGATATTTGTGAGGGCATCCGGACGACTTTTGGTGCAGCCGAACACCTCCTAGCTCCTTTGCCAAGTTCATTCAATCTGGTCGGGAGCCTTTGCGCATTAAGGGTTACAGGCCCTTTGGTTGTAGCTGGTACCCAGGTCAATCTGGGGTCAACCTTTGTTGGAAGGAAGGCGTGTCAGTTTGAAGCCTTGAGGGCAAAGCGAGAATCGTGTTATCCAAACAACAACCTCTCCAACAAAGCCAATTACGGGTGGTGCCCCTGTCATTTTCTGAGAAGCCAACAAATACCTGTTGTATCACCCGACTACTGGGTCACTGTTTCTCTTCGGCCCCCGTTAAACGTGCCCGTTGAGTTTTCAAGTTAGGATTCAACTCGCAGGCTTGAGGGGCCAGATTTGCTGTAAGCAATCAGGTCAGGTAGGTGTACCTAGGTCGGATTGGGATTTTTTACCAGTAGAGCCGGCGAAGCCGGTGGGCGGAAGTTTCAAGAGTATATAAACTATAGTCCTTTGTTTCTGTGTGTGTTTGTTGTGTGCTCTTGTTTCTTTCCTTCTTTCTTTTCATTGTTTCTTTTCTTGTCATTGTTTCTTTCTTTCCATATTTATTTCTTTATTTTTATTTCTTTCTTTCTTTCTTTCTATCTTTCTTTCTCGTTCTTTCTTTCTTTCTTTCTTTCTTTCTTTCTTTCTTTCTTTCTTTTTTTCCTTTCTTTCTTTCTTTCTTTCTTTCTTTCTTTCTTTCTTTCTTTCTTTCTTTCTTTCTTTCTTTCCCTCTCTCTCTCTCTCCCTCTCTTTCTTTCTCTCTTTCTTTCTTTCTTTCTTTCTCCCTCTCTTTCTTTCTTTCTTTCTTTCTTTCTTTCTTTCTTTCTTTCTTTCTTTCTTTCTTTCTTTCTTTCTTTCTTTCTTTCTTTCTTTCTTTCTTTCTTTCTTTCTTTCTTTCTCTCTTCTTTCTTTCTTTCTCTCTTGTTTTATGTATGTTTTGTTTCTTTCATTTGTTTGTTATTTCTATGTGCGTTCCTTCTGTTTTTCTCTCTCTGTCTTTCTCTCTGTATTTTTTCTTTCTTTCGTTCGTTCGTTCTGTCTTTCTCTCTCTCTCTCTTTCTCTCTTTCTCTCTTTCTCTCTTTCTCTCTTTCTCTCTTTTTTCTTTCTTTCTTTCGTTCTTTCTTTCTCTCTGTCTTTCCGTCTCTCTTTCTCTCTCTCTCTCTCTCTGTCTCCCTCTCTCTCTGTCTCTTTGTCTCTTTGTCTCCTTGTCTCTCTGTTCCTTTGTCCGTCTGTCTCTCTGTCTCTTACATATCGTTCTCTCTTTCTCTTTTTCTCTCTATCTGTCTGTCTGTCTGTCTGCCTGCCTGCCTGCCTGCCTGCCTGCCTGCCTGCCTGCCTGCCTGCCTGCCTGCCTGCCTGCCTGCCTGCCTGCCTGCCTGCCTGCCTGCCTGCCTGCCTGCCTGCCTGCCTGCCTGCCTGCCTGCCTGCCTGCCTGCCTGCCTGCCTGCCTGCCTGCCTGCCTGCCTGCCTGCCTGCCTGCCCTGTTTGTCTCTATCTATCTCCCTCTCTCTCTGTCCCTCTCGCTCTCTCGCTCGCTCTCTCTCCCTCTCCCTCCCTCCCCCTCTCTCTCTCTCTCCCGCTCTCTTTCTCTCTATATCTATCTATCTAGCTATCTGCCTGTCTCTCTTTCTCTCTCTACTTGTCTATTTATCTATCTATCTACCTATCTGTCTTTTTCTGTATATATCTGTCTGCTTGCTTTTGCCTGCCTATCTATCTGTCTGTCTGTCTGTCTGTCTGTCTATCTATCTATCTATCTATCTATCTATCTATCTATCTATCTATCTATCTATCTATCTATCTTTTGTGTTTGTCTTTATCTTGTAGATATCATCTATCTGTCTGTCTTATTTCCTTCTAAACGTCCTTTGGTCGGGATTCTTTATGGGGATCAAAACCGTCCCAGCCTGATCGAGGGTACGGGTCGTATCACCCCGACCCACTGGCGCCAGGAAGCCAAACGAAGCCTGGAAGGTCGATGGCTCCTACGCACAGGCGCTTGCTGGATGTTCGTTTTTGGTTTTTTTTTGGGTTTTTTTTTTTTTTTTTGTTTTTTTTTGTTTTTTTGTGTTTTTTTGGTTTTTTGTTTTTTTTGGTTGTTTTTTTGTTGTTGTTTTTTTCGTTTTTTTTTTTTTTTTTTCTTTTTTTTTTCCCGCGGGCGGTTGTTGGGAAGGCTCTTTCCATTCCAGGCTTTGTGCATGACTCAATGCGCCCACATGGTGTTGTGTTTGTGCACCCTTTTCGCGGTTGGCCTTAGAGGGAATCCACCCAATAATTTTGAATAGGGTTCCCGTATCATGATAGTTGGAATGTCCTAGAATGTTAGGTGGACACAAATCCCCATGTTTCTGCCCATGTTTCTGGTGTTCAGCAAAGGGCGTTTATTCTCCCATTTGGTTTTCCAGCCAAATGGTCATGGCTGGCAAAGCGAACATGCCCCATTTTGTAGTGGCACCACTTGGACGAAAGGTTTGGGCAGTGCCATGCCTTTGTGTTCACGCGGTTTGTCGATGCCTCAGATTTTCAGGTGAGGACGGGGAAGACTGGTGCATGACTTTCGGGCTGCTTCTGCATGGCACGGCCCTTCTGCTGCCCAGTGTGGCGGTTTTTTTCTTGCCGCGGGATAGACGGGGCGGGTGTCGAAACATGAGGCCCATGTGGGAAATAGTACGTTGCCCCTCCCAAGTTTGACACCCACCTCAATCTGATTCTCATCAGCCATTGGCATTTAATCCTTTAGCTCGCCGTACAGATTCTGGTGGCTGACACGCAGCCGGGTCTGCTCAAAAGGAGCAAGCCAGACGGATAGGTGTATGCGCGGATGAAGAAACCACATGGCTGATCTTTGGTGTGACCTGCGCCCCTTAGCCTTTGAGGAAACGAATGCGTTTCCCATGCAATCTGCAAAAGGTTAGACCTTTGCTGAGGGAGGGGTGGCTTGGAGCAACCCAGACGTTATGCTATCCCTGACCGCAGGTCTATCAAGCAATGTGAAACCTGGAGTCACAATGTTGCAGTTTGAGGGGTTGTCAAAGTCTGTTGGGGGAGTGCCTCCCGCTACAACACATTCTAGTTGGTTCATGAGGGCAATGACAATCCAGGTCCGATCTTGACACCTAAGTGGATTTGCCTGAGCCACTTGTGATACCAAGGAGTCCCTTGAAAGTGGTCAAGGAATGAATTTCCTTTTGAACGGCACAGAATTCGCGGCGCTCGTTGTCCTAAAGCATCTCCTGCATGGATAAGCACCTGGCTGGTTCAGGCGGTTCGCCTTGGATGTGTCGCAAGCGCCTGGATGTTTGAGTTTCCGTTGCTTTGGGCTCAAGCGTTCTGGAGAACCATGGATACCCAGGGCGTCCGAGTTTTGCTGGAGAAGCAAGATGACTTCGAGCCCACCGACGAGGAGGTGAAGAATTACGCAGAGTGGCTCGGGTTGGACCCCAAGGCCAGAGTCTCCAAAGACGAATGGAAGAGTCACAAATGAGTTTGCGCCAACGGCGGATCCAAGCACATGACTTCTAAATGGTTTGACAGGGAACCCCACCCTCCCTTTTTACCCTCCTTGCACAGCAGCATTGTAGCATCCACCAGAACCATTGCAACCCCCCAAGAAGGGAATCCTCTCAGCAAGGCACGCTATGTCCTGGTCAATAGATTCGGGCTGGATGAAGTTTAGTAGGAAACAATCCGAAAGCTGCCCTTCTGAGTCATGGTTCTGGGTCGACTGGAGGTACTGTTGTCTACCGTGAGGGTGCACTGACTCATTTGGGACACCCCCTTTGTGTGTGTGTGTGTGTGTGTGTGTGTGTGTGTGTGTGTGTGTGTGTGTGTGTGTGTGTGTGTGTGTGTGTGTGTGTGTGTGTGTGTGTGTGTGTGTGTGTGTGTGTGTGTGTGTGTGTGTGTGTGTGTGTGTGTGTGTGTGTGTGTGTGTGTGTGTGTGTGTGTGTGTGTGTGTGTGTGTGTGTGTGTGTGTGTGTGTGTGTGTGTGTGTGTGTGTGTGTTTTTCTTGAAGAAGCCAGGGCTTCCTTGAACATCTTTTGGGTGGTTAGGGGAGCACCACTTTGTGAAGGTGAGTCTTTTTCTTGGTAGCGGCCATGTTGTGTCAAGGGACTCCATGGTTCTCCTTTTTTTCAGGAGGATGAGGACCTCCTGCACTTGGCACGGGAGGGGCTGAAGGCGCCATTGGGCGAGGGCTGGAAGCCCTGCACCAACGAGAACGAGGAGGCGGGGCCTCCATTATTTGGGCAAGTTTTTTCTTGCTCGGTATCCTTTTGGGGTTGTGTAAAGGGAAACCCTTCATTCTTGGAGCACCCGTCAGGGAGAGGCTTTTCAGGGACTCTGTAAATGTTTATTGTTGAAATTTGAGCGTCGCATTTGTCATGTGTGAATTTGTCTCCAAACTTCACTGGGGAATGGCCACAATGCCTTTGGAACTTGGTGGGTGTTCCCTTCTTGGCGTCCTTCTCAAAAGGCCTTAGGGAAGTCCTTTTGGTTTTCCTTACGCAGGGGTCCACCTTGTGGTATTAAGCATCACCTGTTGGACCCTGCTTTGCTTTGCCAGGCGTGATGTTTGAAGTAGAGATGTGAGGGGCACTGCTACACTATCCTCAAGGTTGTTGCAACTTTGAAGTTGGCGCCAGGTCTTCTACTTCAACTTCATGACAGGCGCGGCGCCGAGAGCTGGCCACTTCCGAAGGATTCGAAGCAGAGTAAACCGAAATAGCCAGGGCCTGTTGATGTCCGGAAAAGGGAAGCTGAATTTAAGTCTGCCTTGCAACAAAAAGATATATGGAGGGATGAAGGGAAGTCCGAGAAGTTGCTGGGTCCGGTCCACCTTGTCACAGCAACCCATGATGTGACGCTCGTCGCGGCATTTTTCGCTAACCGGAACTAGGGTTGCCTTTTTTTGTCCTTTTCCAAAAGGACAGTTCTCGAAACCGGGCGGGCCAGGTTCAAGAATATGTGCATGGGCCTTATCAGGGGCTAGCTGGTTTTTGGGCCCCATGATGCAGGTCGCCTGGGCCACAGCATTGATGCAGTGGTGCGTGCCAGGAGCTGTTGCAGATTCCTTCCGTCCTCGCATGCCTGCAAGTTGCTATTCTGAGCAAATGATAGCACCTTCCTCGGGAATCCTCGCGGTCCTGACTGGATTTTCCCATATTTTCCCAGAGATGTCCGAATCTAAATGGGCCAGGCCCTTTCTACCAGGTCGCTATACATGAGCCGCAAACGGTTGGCTTGCTTTCAACTTGTTTCCAAATGCCCATCCCAAAAAAGGATCCTTGTCTTGGCAGGTCAAATTTAGAAGGCACGAGGGCGCATCCCCTTACTAGAATTCAGGGGAGGGGGCTCCGTAAACTCCAAGCACTGTGCACCTTATCCCTTTTGACTCGAAACGTTGGGGGTGCACGCTGTATGTCAGATGTCCTCGCCGGGAGCCTTTTCTGGTTTTATGGCGGGGCTATTGTCCGACAGGTTCGACTTCCTGGACCCATCCTGCGGATGAAGAGTACCGCGCCAGGGTACAAGAGCTGAAGCGCAACAGGACGCGCCTGGGGAGATGGACCTCTCAGTCGTTTCTGTTTTTGAGTCAGTGTCCCGCTGGCTTGAAGGGATCCCACGTTGAAAATATGTTTTTTGTGGACTGCCCAGTTTTTAGAGCCTGAATCATTGGGCCGGATCAGGTTCTGATCGAAGCCTTCGATCAGAATCTTTAGAAAAGGTCCCAAGGGGGGGGGGTCTTTCTAGCCCACAATCGATTCCTGTCCTTTCCTAATTATTTGGTATCGTGGTGTATTCTTGTTGTTCCGAAAACGGCGTCTATTTACTGGATTCACTTTAGTAAGCCATCCCAGAAAAGGTTTTCATTCACCCCTAAGTTTGAGAACTTGAGCTCGCCCGAGGGGCCAGAAGTCGGGGCTCAACGTGCTGCACGCGCCCTACAGCGGCCTGGGGCACCGCCCCATCGACGGCGCCAACGGCCTCTGCAGCTGCCTCCGGCGGGTCGTTTGCTGCCGGCGCCGAAGAAGCGCGGCGCCCGCTCTGCCGCGGTGAGGGGCGGCTGGGGCGACTTGGGGCGTTTTCGGAAGTCCGGATGGACGGAGCAGGCCAGGGGGCTACTTAGATCGCCCAGATGGCAAACCACTATAGACAACCATCTCAAGGTGGCTCCCTCGCAGGGAAATGGAATCACTTGGTCAATTTGCAGATGTTGGGCGGATTTGATGGTAATGGCTAGCAGGCGGGTAGGTGCGAATGTAGGCAACTGAAAATTATGTAGGTTTGGGGAGCGGGCAACCCACGTTGCCCGCAAAAACCAGGGGACAACCCAAAACAGCAAAAAAATCAGCAGCCAACAGTCCCCTTGCCACAACGAGTTGCGGCCAGCAGCCCTATTGATTCTTTGGCGGTTTCGGGCCGACCCTTCCAACGCAAGAATTTTATTGACCCGGGAGCAGTTTGGCACGCCGAAATAGGATAAAAAACCGCGTTGGGATGCAACCAAAAGCCTTTGAAGGGAGAGATAAAACATCTGTCCTTAAAAGAAACCATGAGTTGATGTTGAAACAAAGATGCTCGCTGCCCGCTGCTTGCTGCTTGCTTTTCGGCCCCCTGGGCGCACCCGTTGGCGTGCGAGCCTCACGGGAGCCCCTTTGGGGATGGACATGGGGGTGTCCCAAAGTGATACCTCTTGGAGAGAAACCCAGATGGAAGCTATGCAGGTTTAGCTCTCCCTGATATTTGGACACCCCCACTTATTTGCCCTTTTTGTCCTGTGACTGTTCGATGTATGGGGATGGATGTCTTTGATTTTGAGAGGGCTCATGGGGGCGGGTCCCGCCGTCGGAGTTGAGTTGCTTGACCGGCCCGACGAGCCACTTTGGGCGCAACCGAGTGGAGGCTTCGAGATAATTGTGGGCAAGTCTGATTTTCCAGCTGGATGGCTGCAGCAAGCTGTGAGCATCACAAGAGAAATCGGGGTGTCTTAAAATGGCATTTTGCTGGCACCAACCGGGACAATCTGTTTTAGGTGATTCCCTATTTTGAGGCACACCGAAATGCGAGTCGATTGTTGGTGACACCCAGAAGCACTGTGCAAGTGCTTCGGTTCACAGCAGACATCAGCGGACGCATTCGCCTGCTGGCGCACAAGGGGTTTGCGACGGCCCAAGACCAAGAAGTTTTCAGCTGCGTTTGTCGTGGAGAAAGAATGCCCAAGTGCCTTCTTGCATGTGATTGCGTGTGCGTATGCTCACTTGCCCAAAGCCTTGGACTCGACTTGATCTGGCCTTTTGCTACTCTCGTGTTGGTCTATGTTTACATGTTCGAAAGGTTATCGTCGATATCGTTTCATCTCCTGTGCCATTTATGCCTTGCAGGTGCATGTTTGGAATGAGAATGCCAATCAACATGCAGCTGCAGCAGGAACTACTAGTGCTGAAGACCGGCTGGACAAGATTCAGATGGAAGATCCCCCTTAAACACGGAATGGGGAAAGGACGAACTTTGAGCCTGCAATTTCCATTAGCAACACACGTTCTCTCGGAGCACGCCCCCCTCGCATATTGAAAGGCTTCCGATGTCTTACAGCCTCCTCACAGTTCTGGTAGCCTCGTGGCCATCCCTTTGCATTGACTTCGTTCTTTCCCAATGGACAAAAAATAGAAGCATGAATACATCAGCTCAGCAGCTCAGCAACTATAGCTTCAAATCACAGCAAGAAAAACACTCTTGGAGCAGCTTTGAATCCATAGACCTCGGCCGGAACGCGCCGCAAAGCGTTTGCGGTGCATCATGGTCGTGCGGAGCTCGGTTTGCAAAAGTGACATGACGCACGCCTGGAGCTGTTTTTTGACCTCGAAGGACGGGGTGGTTGATTCTCCGAAAGGGTAACCCTTGGTGAAAGTTGACTAGGGTCTGGTTTAACCACCATTTTGGCTCTAGAATGTATCAACCACGAAGTGCAGAAAGCCTGTTGCAGTGGTCCCTGAGTTTGTATTTGTCAGAAGGCCAAAAGGTAAAAGCCTGATGCGCAGTTGCACTCCGAGCTGCACCCTTGCAAATGCTTGGCCTGCTTTTGGTTTTATGTTTGAACATCCAAGAGATGTCCCAAATAGAAGCGGATCGCTCCAGGACAAGAGATGACACCAAACTTTGGGTACCACATCTTTTCAGTTATTTGCTACCTCGTTTTCAAACATTGCCAAATCGTGAGCAACCGACCAAGGTGGTCTCGCTCTTCGTGTTGAATCGTGCTCGCCTCAGACATGTTACAAGCCTTCTTGAGCCTTTTGTTTGTGTCATGAGGGGCCCCATGTCTCCCCTTGAAGCCAGTTGAAGCATCACTTGGACCAATTTGAGGCAAGTTTCCTCGACGGGCAAAACAGGCAGAGACGGCCAAATGCCGCAGGCAATGGCTCCCTGATATACAGCTACGAGACTCAGGCCGCGCACTGAGGATGAGTTTGGCTTTGGCTGGCTCTGAGGGTCGCGCAACTACCAGAAAAGAATACAGTGTTTGTTTGCAAACTAACAAGGAAGACACAAAGTGAAAACATGTTCCAAGAAGCACCCTCAAACATATTGAAGGTACCAAGTCCCGAAAAGGGAGTTGCGTTGTGATTGTTTGTGTCTTGCCTTCTCAATTTATTCTGTGTTTTTTTGTGTTTTTTTATTGTTATTACTATTTGTGTTTTGTTTCCTCTTTTCTTAGTTATTGTTGATGTGCTTTTATTGGTTTGCGTAATTCCCCACCCGACAGGGAGGGGTTGTTAGATTTTGTGTTGGAATCCGCATGTGCGATGCTTCTACACCACGCCCCCGCCCAGTATCCCGCCAGAGCAGCTCGCCAGTGGATCCCGCCGAGTATCCCGCCAGAGCAGCTCGCCAGTGGATCCCGCCGAGTATCCCGGCAGAGCTGCTCGCCAGTGGATCCCGCCCAGTACCCCGCCAGAGCTGCTTGCCAGTGGATCCCGCCAAGTTTCCCGGCAGAGCGGCTCGCCAGTGGCCGAGCATCCCGCCTGAGCGGCTTGCCAGTGGGCCCCGCCGAGTATCCCGCCAGCGCGGCTTGCCAGTGGAGCAGCTGGCCAGTGGATCCTGCCCAGTATCTCGCCAAAGTGGATCGCCAGTGGATCCCGCCGAGTGTCCCGCCAGAGCGGCTTGCCAGCGGATCCCGCCCAGTATCAGAGCAGCCCGACAGTGGATCCTACCGAGCTTCCCAGCTGAGTATCCCAGAGTAGCTCGCCAGTGGATCCCCCCGAGTATCCCGCCGAGTATCCCGCCAAATTACTCGCCAGTGGATCCCGCCGAGTATCCCACCAGAGCAGCCCGCCAGTGGATCCCGCCGAGTATCCCGCTGAGTATCCCAGGGTAGCTTGCCAGTGGATCCAAAAGGGCCGATGGGAGTTTGGAGTCGAAGTCTCTAGGATGCGGAGGAGTTTGTTGTAACGGCCGTAAGCTCGTGAGTGGGTGGAGGGTGGGGACTGCTCGAAGTGAAGTATTTGATATCTTTATTTGTGCGTTCCTTTCTTTCTGTATGTTTTCTTTGTTTCTGTCGTTATTTTGTTCTTTCTGCCTTCTTGTTTTTCCTATGGTCCTTATCTATTGCGGTGTTTCTAGTGTTATTGTTTTTGTGTTTTGGTTGTTTCGGCATTTGATTGGCGATTATTTTGTGTTGTGTCATGTTTGTTTGTTGTTTATGTTGCTGTTGCTGTTTTTTGTCACTATTATTTCTTTTGTTACTCCTGTCTATCGTTGTTTCTTGTGTTCTTCCGGTCTTTGTATGATTCTTTGTCATTTGTGTATGTCTGTTTTATTTGTATTGTGTTTTCCCTGTTTCTTTCTTTTTTTGTGTTCCTGGCCTGTCTTTCCTTTACTTCTTTTTTTTGCTTCCTTGTTTGTTTTTTTGTTTTTTTGCTTTGCTTGACATTTCGGAGGGGTAACAGCTCCCGAGGGATCGCACCTTTCCTCCAACGACAAGATCCGGCTGTCGTCCACCTTCCACGGCCGCAGGCTCAGCATAGGTGCCCTTTGGTTTTCGTTTGGTATGCAAAATCGCTATGGTGGGCTTCAACCGCGATAATGGCCTTGGAACCCATTCGGATGATGAAACTTGGGTGAACTGTCGTGATTGATTTCAGCCCCCATTGCTTCAATCGCGGCTGGAATTTCAGGCGGGCTTCCTTTGGGCTTCTCATGGTTCCAACCCTAAAAAGGTACCCTCGGAAAACTCAGGCAGAAATCAGTTTTAGTTTCCGGTTAGATTCATGCAGTTGGGTGGCTAGACTCACCTTGGCCCTTGTTTGGTTCTGGTTCAGAATTTGAACTTGCTACTTACAACCATATTGAGCTCGCTGGACCGTGTCTTGGCCCTGATTGGATCGATCAAAGGAACCAGCCGCAGGAAATCCTGCATATACGTTCCAAAAGCCGACCAAACCGCAAGTCTCGATTGTGGCTCCAACTTGTATCCCGGCTTGTTCCTTGCATACTGGTGATGAAGAAACCCTCAACCCAACCAGATTCTGAGCCTGTCCAGTGATGGGATGCTCACCCCAACCTTTGCAGGACGCCCTGTTTGAAACCCGTCGACTGGGCCGGAGGCATCAGCGCCATCGCGGCGCAGATCTCGCCCAAGCGAAGCGGAGGCGTGTCGGTTTTCTTTGGGGAACCCCCACCCCCAAAGCAAAAAGGAATGGGTGGTCTTGGTTTCACGGAAGCAGAGCAACAGCAAAAAGGGTGTAGCTGCAGATGGATCCAAGTTTACTTTTTGGTGTGGTTCCTAGGGAGAACTAGAAGTCGAGTGGCAGAACAAGGGATCCCTTGCTTTGAAGTCCCTTCCTCTTTTTGGTGCGCCTTTGATTCAAGCCGCAAAAGAAGGGGGTTTCTCCGCGTCGCGCGAAGTTTGTTTAAACCCGCAGGACAGGTAAAGGGAAATCAGCAGCAGGTGGTTCGAGCAGCTTAAGCATGCTCAAACCGGGCTCCGAAGCTCCGAAGCTGAGGGTCTCAAAGACTGGAACGGTTCCAGCCCCCAAAAGCCAATCCGACGGTTGATGTGTATGCCTGCGCAAGGATGCCTGCAACAACTGAGGAGTTGCGCGAGTGAAAACTCCCCGTTTTTTTCCTAAACAAGTACCCCCCCATGCGAACGTGTGCGAAGCTTCGGTTGCACTTACATGGCGACGCCAGCACTGCCGGGGGGCTGCCGTATCTAATTTCAGACCTGGAAGTACTTGCTCGCGCTCTGGGAGTTCTGAATGAATCAGCTTAGTTGGCTCTGTTTTTGCTCAGGTTTACCTGGGCTCGGTGGTTCCATTGGTCATGTTACTTTGGATCAGGGCTTGCGAGCTTACCCAGTCCTTTCACAAGGGTGTTTTTGCCAAAAGCCAAAACAAGATGCCGCTCGGAGTTTGCTCATGGGAGTTTCCTCTGGACTCTTACACTCGGAATCTCTGCCCCGACAATTTGATAAATAGGCATCTATCTACCACTAAGTAGGTTTGTTTGAACATAGATTTGATCAGTTTGCTTAAATAGATTCCGCTGATTCGAGTCTGGTTCAAACATCTTCCAGACTCCATCTATTTTTGCGGTCGGAACTCGGGTACGGGCGCGTTGGTTTTGAGGGTGCCCTTTGCTTCTTTAACGGTAAGCTAAAAGGAGTGATCTGGGGCCCATGAAGGTCCGATGTTAGGGACTTCCCGTGTTTCCCGAATTTCTCAAAATGGATTTCGGACCCCCATTTTGGTTCAAGGAAAACCCAAAGGAAACCGTCGCCATTTTAGGGATCGGAATCCTTGGGTTTCTCAAAATCCAATAATAGTTGGGTGGGTTGAAAAGAAAGCCAAAGGGAAGCCAAGTTCTAGGGAGACCATTCTGAGGACAGAGGCCCCCTGCGCTTAAGGATTTGTGGCAAGGCCTCTTGAGACTGCTCCCTTGCAGGCTCTTTCAGCTCCTTACAGGGCATCCGAACACTGGATGCGGACACGCCCGGCGCCCAGACGCTCGGAAGCCATTCCCCGGCCCTTCCGTGGTTACCTTTGGTATCCGGCCCAAGCCCAATAAGAGGGAGAGTCACTTTGTTTTCCGGCAAGCCTAGCCTTGCGTGTGTGCTTTGCTCTTTGTTTGGAAAGCAGACATGGCTGGTACACGTGTGACTGTGACACCTGCAGGTAGGGCTGATTCGTTTCAAAGGTGGCTATGTTGCAAGTCCTAAGTTTGTCCAATCGTATGTCAGTTAGCTGCCCAACTGAGGGTGTCCTGCCCCTTGGTTGATTGAACATAAGCGGCGTTTGCGTGAAATAACACGAGCTCACCGATCGGGCAGGACAACGGGCGATGCTGGACCCATGTTGAGGGTTCTTTGCCAAGGGATTCCTCATTTTTGGTTGCGGATGTTGGCAACTGGCGCAGATTAGTGTAGAAACACTATTGAATGTTTCCCTTGTCGAGCCACAGTGACAGGGAAACGGGCAAAAGGCAATCCTGGCACCTGCTTAGACAGCTTCCTTCGTGAGCTATTGATGAAGCAGGGGTTTACTTGACAGATTTACATGCATGGAACCCCCAAAGCGGCTATTGTTAGAGGAATCTCCTTTCCGGGACGCTCTTGTCGGTTCCATGGCAAGTTGCTAAGTTGAAGCCTCTCCACGGGTTTGAGACTCATGGAGAGCCCCCGTTCGCGGGGCCCTGAAAATCGACCGTGTGGGCCCCAAAAAAGCAGCAAGATAAGACGCCTTACCGAGGAGAGTTGTGAAAAATGTGTTCGCGCCACCAGACTTTGCCCGCCTTGTGAGCCAAAAGGACGTTGTTTCATGAACATGCCCACCAGAGGCCGCCAAAAGAAAACTCTCACACAACCCTGGCAGGTTCTATGTTAGTGGAGGGTTAGTATGTCTCAAAGTGACCCCCAAATGACGAGTTTCCTGTTGGTTTCCCTTTCGCCAACCTGAAAAAGGGCAATTGCCCTGAAAAAAAATCGACGCGCACACACACGCACACACAGACACACACACACACACACACACACACACACACACACACACACACACAGAGACACACAGAGACACACAGAGACACACACAGAGACACACAGAGAGACACACACAGAGACACACACACACACAGAGACACACACCGCCTCTCCAAACAAAACAGAGGCAAGTCTTTTGTGCGCGCGCACATGGTTGAACAGAAGGTTTGTCAATCCACCTGGGAGGGTGGAACTGAGGTGAACTGACCCAAGACACCTTAGCCAGGTTCCGACTCCAGTGCTTCCACACGGCCACGGGCGTCAAGATCTTTTGTGTGCTGTTGCCGCCCTTTGGCAGCCGATGCAGTGCTGATTTGAAGGTGTCTCAAAACAGGATATGGACGTTGCGGGCAGCCAAATGGCTTCTAAGTTTGCTTTGACCCAGGTGCTACGAGCACACATGGGCTCGCGGAATCCCAAAGCCCATGATTTGATGCAACAATTCACCTCTTTTTGCTCCCCATTTGATACGGTCTTGAATCATGCTAGGGCAATTCTCTGAAATGGGGGGAACCCCTGGGACAGTCTTAAAGGGAAACCAGCAAAACAAGTTGTCTTGCGTCTTGCTATGGCAAGCGGATCGGTCCCTTGAAAAGTCCTTGAAAGGATCATGTAGATGGGATTAAACGGCGTGACAGACAGGGGCAATAATTTTCCGCAGTGTTGACCCCCGATGAACCCCAGTCATTTGAAACAGGGAAGTCCGTGCTAGTGGGGCCTGGGGTCTCCTATTTTCCAGCGGAACCCTGACTGTGGCCCACCAAAGGTTGTCCTGAACTTCCGTTGAAGCTCTAATTGACGGGTTCCGATCTCTTGCACCAAAGGGATATCGTTGTGTACCCTGGACCAATGAAGAACCCACGGGCACCAATCGATCCCACGAGCCCAGGCCTTACGTGGATGCGGACCTGCTGTTGCGGCAGGTCGGGCTGATTCCCACCTCACAACGGATGTAAGGCCTATGCGGATATGTGTCAAGATGGGGGACCCCCGGAAATGTGATTACCTTGGAATCTTGGAACCCCCAAAAGGATTCTGATTCTATGGGAGTCAGTGTTCCTTGTATGTCTTTGCTTCATGAATGGAACCCCTGATATTTGTGGGTTTCCCTTGGTTTGCCTTTTCAAACCCGGTTAGGAGACAAGGGCCAAGTCAGGCTACCAAGTTAGGAAGAATCACTGCTGGGCTTCGTTTGTCCTTACCCAGCATTTTGCGGAGCACGGGACACGCAGTGTTGCGAATCTTGCAGTATGTGTTTTTGTTCGGGATGTTGCGTCGTGTTTTTCCTGGATGGCGTATTGGCTTTTGCGACTTGCCTTGCACTGTTGGCGGCCTCTTGCACGTGCCATTTGCGACCCCAAAGGCTTTCCCGAAAACATCTCTAGCAACATGACTAGAAAGACACCCTGAAAGCAATTCGCTAAAAAGACATCCCCGCAAGCGCCCCGCAAGCTGACCCCAAAGACATCCCCAAAGACATTTTCCAAGATATCTTCCTAAAACACTGCGAAAGACATCCCAAAAGATGCCCCCGATGTCTTTTCGCATTTTTGGATAGCCGCCAAGGATGAGTATACAAATTCCTTGTTGTTCGTCCACATGGTGAGTTGGATCCATCGCACCTTTTTACGACCCTACATCTTCTGCCGGTTGCGATTAGTTGCAACCACCAACAATTGGTCAGGGAAACCAATCAAGTTCGGGTGTTTCTCAAAATAGGGCTTCCCTTTTGGAGAACTCGAAGGGTAGATTCTTACCACAACTGGTTCAAGCGCGTCGGTTGAAACATGCTTCTCACCAGTAACTTGAAATGAGTTGATGTTGCGAGTTGTAGGGCTTCAAGCATATTCTTGTTGTTTTGCGTTTTGGGGGCTTTGTGTAAATCATGTTTTCGCATTTAGAGAAAGCCATGTTTGCGCAGTCGGCCAACATGTTAGCACAACGTTCCACCACCGCCAGGTTTATGCCCACTACAGCGATTTCGTGCAGCGCCCACAGCATTGCATGTTCGTCAGGTGTACCACGGTCAAAATCTCCCTTTTGCCTTGGAGTCAGAATGGATGGCACCAACCCAGACAACCTTGATGTGGTTCTAATGACCCTAAAAGGGCGAGGTCAAAATGTTCAGGTCATATCTGGGCTCAGTGGACGCACTCCATCGCTGATCCCAGCTGACTTTGGTGGCCCAAGGCTGAAAAACCCTTTCTACGAACTCGACATGTCAGGCCCTCAGTGACAAAGGCGCAATGTGGTGCTGCACGTGTTGCCTTTCAAGGCCTATCCGGTTCGAAACCTTCGAAAAGGAGGTGCAGCGAAGCCTGGCTGAATTCCACGCAAGGCTTGTTTGAGCTGCGCCCAATAGAACTCGTGCGCGCCCCAAGCCTCAGAGCAAAATATGGGAAAACATTTGTCAAGTTCACTGGGCTTCAAAGGCCTATGTCTATAAACAATGATTTTTAGAAGACCTTCCACATGATTGGCTCCAGCCTGGTTTGATCAATTTGTGCCCAAAAACAAAGGCGAGTCTTTAAAACGAAGGCTGAAGGCTTTTGATTGCGAGCAGTCTGCTCAGCCAATCAATTTGTTTGCATTCCTAGCATTTTAGGCTTTGAGTGGCACGGCGCGGGGTCGTTCGACGCATGTCCCAGATGCATTCGCGCTTGTCTGTGGAGCACTTATAACGAATGGCATGGCCGGTTTTGGAGACGAATTTGTCGAACACAGCGAGGAAAGCGTAAGGCGCCTTTGATCTGAGAGAGCTGTTGTATCCTTTCTCAATGACATAAGAAGAATTGGCGATAACTAGTATAGGTATTCTAAAATAAAGAATGAACGAAAAGATAATGATTTTAAATAAACAAATCAAATAGCATATTACTCCGGAATTTTGCGATCAAAATACCGAATATATATATTTATAAAATATTTATAAAAAAATAAATCCCAGCAAATTCATTCACCATAATTTAAGAATTTAAAATATTAAAACTAAATAAACCTTATGCAACTAATAATATATATAAATATATAATTTTATGTTTAATTAAATTTTAATAAAAATAAAATATATATAATTAAAATTTATAATAAATTAAAATATATTGTTTATATTTTTTAAATTACTATATAATATGTTTATTTTATATTATTGTTAATATATTTTTATTATAGTGTTTCTTTTATTTATATATATATATATTATTTAGATAATTGTAAATAAATATGAAAATGAAATTATATTTAATATATTAATTTTCTTAATTATAATTTATGATTTATATATTTTAAATGAAATATTATTAAGAATTATTTTTTTAAAAAAATAAAAATGATTAATTTAAAACAATTAAAGATAGATTTTTAATATTAATAATATGTAAAATTAAATAATTAATTGTTTTTAATTAAAAAATGAATAAAATACAAAAAGAATAAAATAAAATTAAGATAAATATAAAATAAAAACAAAAAATATAAAGAAAAAAAAAAAGGAAGAACAAAAATAGAGAGAAAAAAAGAAAGAGGAATAGAGGGGAAAAACAAGAATAAAGAGAAGGAGAAAAAAGATCACCGAAATACAGAGAAACAAAAACATTGCTTGGATACGGAGATTCTATATCCATATTATAAGTCTAACATGAATTTAGATGAATCCAACATGAGTGTTACATAAATCTGTTGACTAGTTCGCGGTTTAGCGCTGGGGCGGTGTTTTTTCTGTTTGTATATTTGTTTATTTATTGTTTCATTTCTTTATTCTGTTTTATATTATTTTAGTTCTTCGTTTTTCTATATTAATTGATTTTATAATGTCGTTATTTCTTTGTGATCTCTTTTTTTTTTTTTTTTTTTCAAATAAAGAAAGAAAAAAAACAAAATATAGCAAAAAACAAACACAAAAAACACCAAAGAAATAGAAACCCAAAAACACGCGCACACAACAACACGAAAACACACAAAAACAAAGACAAAAAAACAAAAAGACAGAGAAACAAAGAAACAAAGAGACAAAAATGAAAAATACATATAAAACAAAAGATTAAAGGAAAAAAAAATAAAATGGAAAAAAATAAAAAATAAAACAAAAAACGAAAGAAATAAGAAAGGAACAAAAATACAAAATTATCTATCAAAATCAATTAAATTCGGAAATGTAACCCGATAATGTTTATGGAAATATCTAAAAATAAAAATATGTAAATCTAAAAGCATAATCGTCAAAAACGACCCAAAAATCATAAAACATTTAAGAAATTTATATAACATTACATATGCATATATATTTCTACATAATTGATATATCAATATTTATGTTATATTGAGTTTACCTAAATCTTTTAATTTTTATTATTATAATTCCTATAATTCCTTATAATATTTTATATAATACCTTATATAATACCTTATATAATTCCTCATATAATACCTTATATAATTCCTATATTATATAAAATATCTAATTTAAATTAAGAATGCTTAGTAAAATTGTTTTTGCTTATATAATATCGAAATTATAAATGTAACTAATATATTCTTTAAAGATTAATTCTACCATAATATATGAATTTAATAACACAATTTTAATTTTGTTATTGTTTAAAATTCAATATAATATATTTTAAATATTCTATTTAAAAAAATATCTAATTTTATATGGTTCATTATATATTTTTACTAATATTTATGTATCTACTAATGGGGGTCCGCTACTTTCCAACAACGTGCAAAATAAAACCAAATGCAGGAAAGTAACAGAATCAGAATGTAAAATTAAATCGTTTTCCAATTTAAATGTCCTTAGATAAATATATATGGGCACTTAAGATATTTTATTATACTAAGGTGCTACTAAGAAGTTCCTACCAATTTAGTAAAGTGTATAATTTTTCAAAGTGTTTTGCTAGGATTAAATCCAAGGCAAAGGTTTAAAATCGTAATTATTCATTTTCTCGAAGTATTCCGAAATTTATAATCAATAAAAATCGGTCGCCTAAACAAAAAGAAAATGGACCCGTGTATTATTAACCTCAAATTCATTCCTATATATAATTATTTCATTATATCATTATTAATCTAAATCTTGTTATTTAAATATCCTTTTTCAAAATTAAACCAAAATAAAATCCCAACAAAAAAAAAAATCCAATTTCCAAAAGCATCTATTTCACTCCTCCAAAAAAAATATGTTTTATTCCTTCATAAATCTTTCAACCAAAATAAACCCATACCCATAAATCAAATCAAAATAATAACCAAAAAACATTCAAAATTCATAACCCAATAATACACATCAATAACCTCTATCATTAATTTATTCATCAAATATCTTAATTTTCTCAATAACATAAAACAAATCCTACATTTTATAAATTTATAACAATAACCTATATAATATCAATTAAATTTCAACAAAATCATATAACTTTACCTATACAATATCAATTTCGAACAAATAAATAAGCAAATAAACAATTACATAAACAATATAAAATAAACAAAAACAAAAACAAAACAAACACACAAACAAAAAGAAAAACCAAAAAAAACACAAAAAACAACACAATTACAAACACATACGCACAAACACACAAAACACACAGACACACAAACACAGACACACAAACACACAGACACGCAGACCCAGACAAACACAAACACAGACACAAACACAAACACAGACACAGACACAGACACAGACACAAACACACAAACACACAGACACGCAGACACAAACACACAAACACAGACACACAAACACAGACACACAGACACAGACACAGACAGACACAGACACAGACAGACACAAACACAGACACAGACACAGACACAGACACAGACACAGACACAGACACAGACACAGACACAGACACAGACACAGACACAGACACAGACACAGACACAGACACAGACACAGACACAGACACAGACACAGACACAGACACAGACGACAGACACAGACACAGACACAATCACAGACAGACACAGACAGACACAGACAGACAGACACAGACAGACAGATAGACAGACAGACAGACAAAGAAACAGATATTAGAGACAGAGAGACCAACAGACAAAAAAACAGACACCGACAGAGAGACAGAGACAAAAAGAGACACACCTCCGGCGCGCAGCGCGCCGGATTCTGATGTCGACACGCCACCTTCGCCTGCGCACGTGCGCGCGTCCGACTCCGAGCCCGAGAGCCGTGATGCAGACGGGCTGCAAGAACGCGCGTGCGAGCTCTCGGCTGCGCCTGCCCCAGTTGCACGCGGCCGCTGGCCTCTTGTTCCCTGGCGCCCTCGCCCAGTGGAGCCAGTGGGAAACGGTTTGTCACGCGCTTGTCTCGGCGCTGGCCCTCCACGACGGCTGTGTTCTGGCCCGTGGCCAGGAGGTGGTTGCAGGTGTTCGGCGGCCCTCTTCGGACTGGGCACCCCGGGTTGCTGGCCCGGTTTGGATTGGTAGTTTGGATCGGTGTTTTGGAGGTTAGGGGGTGGTTTCCCATTCAACTTCAACATGATCCAGGGGTTCAATCCCCAAACCACCAATCCAAACCAGCAATTAGGGGTAAGTTGAGGCGGGTGCCAAAAAAGTGCCGAACTCTCAAGGGGCCAAGGTCTAGGCCGTGGTGGGTGTGCCAAGAATAGAGCAAATCTTACAGAGCCCCACCAACATATTTTATCATCTCATATGTATCAAAAAATGTATACTCGTCGCATGCGAAAAGCATGCTGCCGTTCTCCAAACACAGGTCGCGAGACACACTGAGGGCCGGGCTGGTCGCGATAAGGTCCAAAGCGTCAGTGAAAGGCGGTCGCCTGAGCAAGCGCGATCGACCAGAAACATCCTGGGCGCAAGCAAAGCCGAACTGATTTCGCCCAAAGAATTGGGAAACCACCACTAGTCGCAACAATCGGCTGCTGCTCACAGCTTCTCCGCATCGCCAAACTCTCGGAAGATGGGCCAAGATATCAGTTGCTACGGACAGGCAGGTATATGCCCCGACTCTTTATCTGGAAGACACAACGGCTTCGTTCAAAGCCCGGACCATTTTTCCGAAATATCCCGGATATTTCGATAGTCGCGCTCCAGACCATTTTTCCGAAATATTCCGGATATTTCGACGATAGCATTTCCCGAAATATTTGGAATATTTCGGGAAAATGGTCCCCGAAATATTCGGAATATTCGAGAAAATGGTGGGTGGCTGCGATTCCCAGACCTCTTTGCCGAAATATTTGGAATATTTCGGGAAATTGGTCCCTACAAAAAATGAAGCCACTATGTCTTCCGCACATATGCCGGGGTAGCCCGGACAGATTTGGGCAAGCGGTCCATAGGAAATATGAAGCGGTTACATCTTCCAGGGGCAGTCCAGACCAATTTTCCGAAATATCCGGGATTTTTCGGAAAAGCGGTCCGGGAAAACGCGCGCAAGTGCGACGAGCAAGTTTCACGGTTTCGTTTTATAGAGTAAAAGTAAATATATTATAACATATAATATCTTTAAAACACAAAAATATTTGCTTAGGTTCGTATTTTAATAGCTTTATACATCAAACGAGCTTCCGAGTTGCATAACTAACCGCCCCGAAATAACGAAACATACAACCTTCCAACACCATGCCTGCGTAACGGAATGACATGCAACGTCGCACGAGCTACGATTCAAGCAACGAAAACAACATTTTGCATGTCATATATATAGAGAGATATAAAAATATCCCGTTCGAAACCTTCCCCAATGTCATTTTTTGCCACCTGCGGAGGCTGGCAACTGCCATGCATTCGATCAAAGAGAGAGAACGATAAGTAATATCGTATATTTGTTTGTTTTATTTGTTTGTAGATGTTCTGAGAAGTATTGAGAATTCAGGTTCAACCCACCGTGGCTTTCTTGATCTTGGTCATCTTTGGAAACCTCAGGCACAACCACATAGCTTCATTCGTCATGCAGGGTATTGAGGCCATGTCTTGGCATCCAGGTATGCGTTGCCCTGTGCCGTGATTTGACCTGCCAAGGCAGAGAAAGGCAGGTGACCAGAAGTGAGCCAGCCCCACCCTGGTTGGGTTGCTCCCCGTAACCAGCATAGAACTTGTTCACCACCTTATGCAATGCACAAGTGCACGAACAAAGCCCATGCTTTGTAGGGGAGGCTTGATAGGAGACTTGAGCATGTCTAGGTCAAGTGCGTCCATGCCTCCCTCCACGACTTCACCGATTGGCGAGAATCCTGGGCCAACAGCTGATCAACCGCTCTGTAAAATCAATCAAGGTCTGGCCTTGTCCATCCAGGAATGCATTGTCCTGGCATGGATCGCAGCTGTCACGAGCTGCCTTTGTATGCCTCGTGATTGATTGCCTTGAGGTTGATGAACATTTGAGATGTTCTGGTGTTTGGGCCAGCAGTTGCAAACCTGGCAAGTGAGTGGGGTCATGCTGAAAGAATGCTGCTGCCTTTTGGCCAAGAGGCACGAGGGTTCCTTTCTTGTTGCTAACCTGGCAGCAGCAGCATGATCGACCACAGCATTCCCGCGGAAGCGGCCTTCACCGGGTCGTCTGGAATGTTCTCCAGTCTCTTCTGAGGTTTGCCAGGCAATCCAAACCTGAGGATAGACAGGGGGCAGGTTATTAGCATTTTGGGAAATGAAAAATTAGGTTCGTGCTGTGCAACAAATCCTGGAACTACGCGAAAAATGCCGGCCTCAGCAGCCGAGGATTGGTAATGCAAAGCATCAGCCATGAATCAAGGCTGTGACGTCATCGTACCAACCTCGTTCCACCAACCTCAAGTTACGGTAACTCTAGTGTGCCAACCAGCATCTGCTCAACACAATCATAGCACCCTGCTGCCCAACGGCAGCACATTTGCGCATGAGGAGCAAACGTTTTGAACTGCGAGGCACCTTTGGGCGCCTCATGGCTGAGCAACATGTCAATGGTGTCCATATCCAAGCGCTTGCCAGTAGTTGTGTGTTGCAAAGTCCGTCCGAGTAGGCAACACGTATTATTGAGCCAAACCCGCAAGGACACGCGTTTATGAATGTTGAGTGTCCAACCCATTCAGGATGTACCCGGATTTTGAAGCTAGCCTGGCACATTGAGATACATTCAACACATGCCCAGTTGACTGCGGTGTGCCTCGGTGGGCGAGTCACCGCCCAGATTCACTGCCAGGGTCTGAGAAGAAAATTCAATCGATCCGCCATGCAAGAAAAAACTGAGGCCCTCACAACATCGAAGTCGGCCTCGGTGTCGGCCTGACACAAAGGCTGAGGTCAACCCCATGGAGCTTTTTGCCGTCCATGCCTTCGCGATGCCAGCTTTCTGCCTGGAATTCAACTGGCCCTATGGCCCGTCGAGATGAGACTCAGTGCCCTGCGAGACGGCGTTTGCCGCGGCCAAGCCCAGCACGAGGCGGCGCCCCTCGCACGATCATCGTAGCAACTTTGGGCAATCACCTTGATAGCACCTCTGCATCCCTGGCCACCACGTCGGACACTCGCCTTGTTTTGTGGCGTTTAGCTTTCGTTTTCTTCGCATGGTCGCTTTGTTTGGCTTGGTTGCTGTGCCTCGGTTGCTGTCTTTGATTGGTTTGGTTGAGATTTGTTGCCGCTGCTGTTGATGTTGCCTTTGCCGTTGCTGTTGCCGTTGATGTGGCCGTTGAGGTAGTTGTGGTTTTTGTGACCATGGTGACCGTTGCGACGATTGTGATCTTTGTGAAGTTGTGACGGCTATGGCCCTTGCTGTTGCGTTCCGATAGCATTGAGCAGTCTAATATTGATCGAAGACTGCCTTCTTGTCTGCTCGCTGTTGTCCTCAGGGTTGCACGCACCAGAGGGGCTGGGCAGGAAGGTAGAGTGATACCTGACCAGATGTGCAAGAGCGATTCATGCGAAACTGGCTGCCTGCACCCAGCAGAGGCAATCCAGGTCATGCTTGGCACGCACTCTTTTTCTTCGAGTTTAGACTGCCCTGGAATGCAAGCCGGCAAGCCGGCCTGGTTGTCACCATGCACACCTGCCCGACTGAGGCATACAATGCACACTGCAAAGAAGGCGGCTTTTCCTGCCACGAGCAAACACACGTCCAATGGACTGGGGATCGTGCAATCAACAGTGCGCCCACTGCGGCATAGGTCTGCCGTTGAGTTGACCTCGCAATGCGTTGGACCAACAACGCATTGATTGAGGATGGTCTTCATCTTGGCACCAAGCATGAGACAGCTCATGTCACCAATGGGGACTTTCGAGCCAAGCTAGAACTTTGCAGTAGCAACATGTTTTCCTGTCTGCAGCTTCTCGATACAAACAATGCATCATCCCAGCCTCTCAAAAAAATGGTCATGACCTGTCCGACTGGCTGCGCAATTCTTCTTGATGGCTGTCAAGCGGGCAAGATCCAAACTTGCTGCTGTTCGAACTCCTGTCCAAGCTTCTCTGGCTGTACAAGGAAGCAGCAAGGCATGATCCTTCTCAGGAATTCTCCATATCACCTCACACACACACAAACGGGGGCGCCTCAACATGTGGAAGAATGAGGCGGCAACTTTTTGCAACAGCAAACTCCGACCTTGGTTGCACATCTGCTCATCACACACCGCTAAGCAAAGCACTCCAAGCACTCTTTCTGTGCTTCTGCCCTTGGCATTAGAGATGGCTTGGGCCAGCACGCAAATCACCACCACGGCTATACAGCTTGGCAGGCTCACCCAAATCCTTGTGTTGGGATAGGACCCATGAAAGCAAGTCTCACTCAAACATGTGAGGCCCCGGCGGCCAGGCATAGCCACAATAGAATGGCCCACAGCTTGTAAACGCATACCTTTTTGGAGTGAATCGGTCAAATATCTTCCCAGTGCTGTTTTGCTGGGACACGGACACGGCCCATACGCTGAAATTGGCAAGGACCTCAAGTCAACTGTTTAGAGAAGAACAGGCCGAATGCGCATCTCGCTCTCTCAGGACGCAGCAATGTTGCCAAAGACTGTCTGGATCCACCTGGCAGCTGGGACTTGGAGTCACAACGTCACGGCGATGACTGCCTGGGACATCTGTCGTTGCCTCAGCTCGCGACTCGCGAGACAGTCGCTTTCTGGAGACTTGAGTGACTTGAGCGCCCAACTGGGTGAAGTCCATGGCAGAACATTCACACCATGAGCTGCCACGGAAAGCAGCGTGCCAAAAGATACCTTTGCAGAAGAGTCAAATCTGCGAACAAAGAAGACGCGCGTGCACTTTCATATTTATAAGCAAGCCGTCATTCTCAACCTACCACATGAACACCTTGGGCTGAGCTGTGTGTGTGTGTGTTGATTTTAACGTCTGGTAAAGTTCATCTGGGTGGGGTTGCTGAGAGATTCTGAGCACCCCGCCCACATTGGCCACGGGTACGTATCAATGCCGCACAGCCAGAAGTATAACATCCATACGAGCCTGAGGCAGCTGGGGTCATGGAAAATGCTTGCAGTACACTGCTTGGCAGCATCTGCGCCACAAAAGCAGCAACAAAGCAGCAAGGTGACAAGCAAAGAACTGCTTTGGGCTGAGGAATGTTCAGCCTGACTAGCTTGTCAACCTGCTCAATCTTGCTACGCTCTGAGGCCTCCACACGTTCACCAAAAGGACAGCAAAGAAATGTGTGCCCAGCGCTCGCATTGCACCTTGGAGGCATCCAATTCAATTGAGGTGGGAGATGTTTGTCCTGCATGCCCATCCAAAGCCAAGGCCGCTGCAGTGTCTGTGGGTAGGCGCCGGCGCCTGCGAGTTTTTTACCTCTCCGTGACTAGAGATGGAGCTGAACTGGCAGGCAGCGCCTGCCAACCAGCCAAGGGCACCGTGAGCGAGGCAGCTTGTGAGTGCCTGTCGGAAACTCGGTTTTCGCTCTGAAACACACGCCCAGTGCAAAACGCCAAGGCCCAAACGCATCGAGCGGCCTTGGCGGAGGCGCCTTGCAGCACGGATTGCCAGACCAATTTGCTTGAGGTACAGTTTTGCACTAGCTCTGGGTCTTGGAATTGAATCATTTTCGGTTCCGCTCATTGGAGCTGAGGAATGGGCGCTGGGCGCATCTTGGTACAAGTACAACGCTTGATGCGATGCAGGCTGCGCCGCAGGCCCATGTTGTGTAGCGGCAGGATCTGGCGACGACATGGCTGAAACCGACCTTGCTCAGGTTTCGGCCTGGTCTATGAGCTGATGTTCCATTCAGTTTCGATCTCGTGGTGTGGTGCATGCTCCACTGCTGGCAAGTCAACAACCTTTCACGGTTCTGGTGAGCTACTATGTCACACTTCTGAAGGGAGCGCCACACAGGCGCACAAATCAAGTGCTCACAGGATCCTTACATTATACACCTGAACATTGCCTCGTAAATGCTGGCCTCCCTTTATTTTGGTGGAAAAAAACATGTCTCAAATGGGCAAAGTGTAGCCCTGCTCAAGCATCAAATATCTGCCCATCCCCACCGCTGAAGCTCTGTCAGTGGCTCGCAGTGTTTTCCATCACTTTTTCTTCCGCCAGAGCTGCTGCAGCCGCCAATCGCAGATCCAAATGGCTGCAAACGCTGCCTGCAGAGCTTCCGGATATGTACCGGATGAGCTTGCCAAGCATGCTGAGTCAGGAACTCTGAGCAGCAGCAGCACAGCCTCGGAGCACCTTTCCGCTGGACTTCTGAACTTCAACTTTGGTCAACGTGTTTCGAGGCTCCTGCCCAGCCACTGCAGCAAGAAAGGGCGAAGCAAACCTGGAGGGTGCGGAAGAGTGGAGTAGCACACCAAAGCATGCAGCAGGCAGTTCCACCTGTCCACAGCTGCCAGCCATACGCCCGCCGCCAAACCCAAGGCTAGTCTGACCTCAATCCAAATTGCTTGGCCCTAGTGCTCAATGGAAGCTGAGCTGCAAGCTCGTCTTGAGCCAAACCAGGGCGCTCCTGGCGAGTGAGAAAGCAGTTTGCGGCCCCGAGCAAGCGGGGCAGGTCCTGGCAGGGCAGGCAGCACCAGAATCGCTGGTAGCGGAGCTGAGAAACAACGCACGGGTCCATCCTGACATCACAGATTGCTCACGGCACGCACTGCGTCTGCACCCTCTGACCCTTTTGCGTTTTCTGGCACACTGCGCTTTTGAGTTTGCTGCCTGCTGAAAAGAAGACTACTCAGAGCAGCACCCCAGAGATACCACGAAGCTTGATGCCAGCAGCTGTGCGCTGCAGCACTCTCTCGGCAGTGCACACCTCCGCGGGCGTGCACTCCCGCTCCCCTCGCGCATATCTGCAGCTCACTGGGGGTTCGGCAGGCGCACAACCGAGAAGCATCCAGCCCTCGAGGTGCCGAGGAAAGCTAGACCCAACACGCAGCTCCAAAAAGCCGCACCCTCTTCCCTTATGTCAACTTGTTGACAATGTGCATGGATACTTGAAGGCTTGCCGATCAAGGCTTCTTGTTACCGAGCCCGTGACTACACCCGTGGTATGCTTGGAGAGCTGCAAGCTGATGGTGAACTGGGCCACCGGCATTGACATGCCATCAAACGTCAAGAAAATGTGAAATGTGAAATTTGAGTGGCTGGCGTGTGCCAGTGCCCACACGAGGCTGCAATGAAGCAAGGCGAACACGGTCCACACTACAACCGCTTTGACCTCACATGCCCCAGAGCGCTAACGTGTTTCCATGGACGTTCTTCATCTACACAGCCTCATTGCTTGAGCAGCTGGCCACATCTTGCAAGGCCGCATGCCTGGCTTCTCGCTGCACTTGGCCTGCCAGTGTTGCTCATGCCGGGCAGATCTCTGTATCGGCCTGCGCCCCCTTAAGCTCTAGGCTCGTAGCGGAGCCGCAGCCAGAACCATCCTGAGTCTAGCGGCAAAACATTCTGCCTGGGCTGCTAGTCGATCCCCATGGAATAGGTCTTACACTAAGACTAGCACTTTGGCTGCCTTGGTACCACTCCTTGGGTGTTCCCAGAGTATTCGCATCACCCAGCATTGCACTAAGGTCCTTGCTCAGAATGCGCACGCGCAGACCTGGCGACCTGATAATTCAGCTAGTGCCGGACTTGCATGTGCATCTTGATGCTGAAACTATGACTCTGCCATGCCTCGCGCTCGATGGCTGACACCTTGCGCATGGCTCCTGAGTGACTGACTGTAGACAACTTGTTTGTTTGCATGTCACATTCACTGCTTCTGACACGGAATTTGCACGCTTCCTGAGAGGTCTCTGACATCCACCAATCGAATCCATGGCAAGGCCAACGAGTCCCAGACTTGATTGACAACCAACAACCTTCTTCAAAACAATTGGGCAAAAGCGGCATTCAACCCCCCCCCCCCAGTTGAAGAATCTCGCCACGGTCAGCATGTCTGTTGCCCAAGTGTCACTGTGTCGCTGGCTGTGGCAATGTTTGGAGTGCATGCTTCATTTGTGTACGTGGTCTATACATTGTGCCAGCACATCATGCCGTAGCTTTCTCTCTGCTGCGTCAGGCAAATTGTCCGCCTTTTCCAAATCGATCGTATTGACTAGACTTCAATTCCGAGCGTGCACCATCTCTCACTTATCTTCAGAGGAATCCTCATCACACCTCACATCGCAGCTGAGGACCAGTTCCCTCTTTGCCTTGAGAGCCGCACGACATGAACTCGTCTTGTGTTGGTTCCCCTCCGGCGATTTCGAAGCTCTGCAGGCTCAGCTCATCCCATTGTGACTGAGACCTGGCATGGGCCCGACACAAGAAACCTAGTCAATCTGTCAAAGAGGTGGGTCAACCAACGAACGGCTGTCAATGCAACAATGTAGGTGTGCTTCCAAAAGGATGGCAGGCTAGGCAAACAGCCTTGCACAGTGGCTCGGCTTGCTTCGCCTGTTGTATGTGCCACTCACCATGATTTGAGTGCACAACGACGCAGGTGCTAGATAGCAAGGCAGTCCGTTGTCTGAGTATCCACCGGAAAAGGCATGCTGCCGCTGAGAAGAGTGAGTTGCAAAACGAATGTGTTTCGGAAAAGCAACGGCTGTGTCAGACGAGACCCGCATGCTTGCCATATGATCAGAACGGCATGTTGCCAGCCGGCAGTGTGGTTGTGCGCGGATGGTCTCTTGTTGCCACCTGGTGGTCCCAGTGTCCAGTGTCGAGTCCGCAGGGTGATCCCCTGGTGGTCCCAGTCCTTGCGATTCTGCAGCCATGTCTTTGGTCTTTGCGAAGCTATTGAAGGTGCGCTAAAAAAGATAGCATGTCGGGCACTGGTGTGAACTCGAGGCCGGCGTTGAACTTGCTCTGCTGCTTCTGTGCATGTTCACCTCTATAGCTATCTCAGCCGGCAACTTGGCCATGTATGCCAGCGCCCAGGATGGGGTATGCCAGCTATAACCAATGAAGAAGTGCAACACTTGCCATGCTATCGATAGGAGGCCACCAACCCTGCAAGGGAACAGCCTCCAATTGGTTGAGCTGAAAGCAAGGTGTGTAGAAACCACCTGCCAGTCGACCTGTGGGAATCGTTGCCCATGCTTATTTGCAACATGTTCGCAAAAAATGTGCAAAACCGCATATCTTTATCACACTGCAATACTGAAGAACGCTGTCAGCTTCAAAGGGGGGGTGTTCCAAGGATCCTCGACCAATCAACCAGGAGTTTATCAATCCGGGGTGAAATATGTCCTCTGTGCATGCCATTTATCAGCCGCTGTTTGAACTCTGATCGTCAGGCCTGCGACTTCTGCCATCAGGGGACTCCGCTTGAAGCTCTACGAGGCGCTTTCGAGCGTCGTGCAAGCGCTGCTCTACCTTCCGGACACGTGAGGCCCGGGTGCATGGTTCGTTGGCCCCGTGACTCAAAACATCTCTCCAGGCCTTTTTGAGCTGCGTAAGTTGCTGATCAACTTTCAGCCTGCACGATCGACTTTGTTGGTTTACAGTCAACATGCAGCACGGGCAAGTAATATGCAGTCTACAAATGCCAGTGATAATGACTGGTTGAGTCTACTGGACTGTGGAAGCAGAAGGGAGCAATGAGATGCTAACACAACCCAATATAAAACTCTGACCTCGAATCGTGGTCTGGAAGAGGGAACGCACGCATTTTACATGGTGGATGTGACTCAAGACGTTCTCGTGGCGAGGGGAGCGCAAGCATGGTGCTCATGGTGTATGCAATTCCCAACCTGCTCAGTATTGCAGGAATTATATTTCTCCCCTCAAAGTCCTACTGATCCATTAAGGCACGGGCTCGTGCATCCGCCGCTTCTCGTAGAACGGAGCTGCCCGCTTCACGGAGCAGTTCCAAGTGCCTCGCTGATGGTGCAGTTCATTTGTTCCCACGCACGACTGCGGATTGGCGCCGCACAGCTGCCATGCTGGGAATCCTCGAACTCAAATCTCCTGCGACAGGTGTTGTGAAGCAACAAACTGAGGCCTCTATGACTTGCCGCGTTCATTGCAGGAAGAATGCGGGCGTGGCTTTGCTAGCTCCAACGACTCTGTAGTCATTGTGCCAATCTTCAAGCATGTCGTCTCCTGCGCGCTTCATCCAATTCTTCGCGCTTCGCAGCAAGCTCCGAAGATGCCAAATCACGTTGGCGCCTCATGGGCAAAATCCAGCATGCATCTCGTCCAGTGAATGCTCTGAGATGATGGCTGTAGTGCTGCAACCGTGTCCCCAAGCCGTGACACCTGTCACTTTGGCTTCAGCCCGTGCCAGCAATCTCAACGGGAACTGCTGGCCATGGCAATCTGGGCTCGCCGCGCGAATCATGCGCAACAGCTTGGGGTCGGCATCCTGAAACTCGGCATCAGCTCCTCCATCCGCCTGACATGCAAGCAGCAAACTTGATGTGACTTCAGCCTCCCTGCCTTGGCCGGTGCCAAGTCCTCCCACTGCTCGTCAGACAACACGTCCTTTCCCTGCAGGAAGGCTTCAAATGCAGCCTCAGGGAATACGCTCTCTCGGCGAGTCTCGTGCATCGGGGGGCTTTGAAGTTCCAGCCGGAAAGTCACGATCCAACAAAAAGCTTCCTGAATGGACCGTCAAACTCGCTTGACCTGAGCATTCACACATTCTCGCTACTTAAAATCCCTTAGTCGCCAAGAGTACATGTGTCGACAAAATTCTAGCTTTGCCACATACAGAAGCCACCTTTCAAAATGTGAAGCATTTGCTGCCTTGCCTTGATCATGTGATTCACCAAGTGCTAATCGGCTTAGTGCAAGCATATCAAGTCTGTTTATCACTTGTGGAGTGCTTGCCACATGACACGTCCAGGGATGTGCGTGCAAGCCTCTGACATGCATTTGCTGGCACTGGGGTGCCTCATCAACACCACCAGCGCAACAGCTAGCTTTTGCTGAGTCTTCACAAGCCTTCTGACAGGTGGCAAACTTTCGAATCCCTTTCCGACTATCGTTTGTATGAGACAGTTGATGACTTTCGCAAGGTAGATTCTTGCCAACAACGAAATTCAGCGCTAAAGCGGCTGGACATGCTACACATAGGACTGGTGCTGCCGCCGCCGGCCTGGCCTCTGCCACAGCCAGGTTCTTGACGGCACCCTGGCAACGGATGAGATCACCAAGCACTGGCATGAACACGTTCCTGGACAAAAGCCCAACATCAATCTTGACAATACAATTAGTGGCGTGCATGCCCCGGTTGTGTTCACATGGCCTGCCCTGGCGGTGTTGAACTGTTGAGGAGGCATAGCAGAAGGGGTGGCGGCGCTGGTTATGAAGAAAGCAAGGCGACCAACGGCAAGTGACTGGAAGCTACTGGTGCTGCCACCTTCTATCCATCTGCTCTTTCGGAAGGCAAACATTTGCCTGATTCTTTGCTTGCCCAATCAGAAGTCAATCTCAGCAACTTGCTTTGGATTCCGTGGCACTCGCAGGAAGTCGATTGCACTGCAGCAATCTCAATGGAGAGCCACTGTAGGGCGCTCATCTAGGACGTTCACAGACTATGGACAGGGAGTCTTTCGTCACTGCCGCGTCGAACGCGGCCGTTCGTCCACTCGCGACGACCGTGCCCATGCCCACTCGCGACGTTTTTGCTACATTATCGAATTCGAGCTAAACGTTAGCCAGACCCAAGCTGTCCACGAAGGCATTTTGTCGGTCAAAGGCAGCTCTTGCCGCGAACATCGAAAACGAGCAAGCTCTTCGCCGCGATCATTTGGATCTTTCAGCTCCTCGTCGGCCAGCCCCAACAACCGTCTGGCCCGAGGCGTTGACAGCGGCATCCGCCGCCAGCTTGCTCAAGCCGTGTTGACGGCAAGATCCGCGCATCGGACATGCAGGTTAATTATCCAGTTTCCGACTCTGCCGGGGGTGCTCAGCCAGCTCGGCTCGCCTTAGGCTCCCAGCAGCCAGATCTGCCTTGGGCCGAGAGAAAGCGCGTGTGTGGCTGCTGGTTGTAGCCGCCTCCGTGATCTGAGATTCCCAAGCCAAAAGAACCGCGGCCGTGACGTTGCAGGCACCCCACGTTCTGCCTGATCTCTGCCAAGCTCTTCCGATTCGCACCTTGGCCTTGCGCCTGCCCCATCAACTCCCCTTTTCTACGGCTCTCGCAAGCTTGCTGTTTGCCGGGGATCGCAGACTCGTGTGGAAAGATGGAGCTGATCAGGTGGAAAAAGCCGGTTGAATTCCCCCGCGCATTCACTCCCATCACGCTAGCGATTCGATAGTGCGCCGCTGCCAAGCGCCAGGCCGTCAGGCCGTCAGGGCTGGCCCGACTGGCCAGCAACCCGAACGTAGGAAAAGCGAGCGCTGGCACTCCCATTCCAGAGACTGTTGCAATGTTCGCTTCAGAAGTCGACCGGGCGGAATTGCAAACGAGTCTCCGACTTTGGGCATCGAATCGATGCACCAAAGCGGCGTTTGCATTTGTGTCTCAGGAGCTCGGATTCCTGGCGCGCCACCAAGGTTTCACTGAGGGCGTGGAAAGCTTAGTTAGCTCTTGAAGATCTTATGATGTTGATTTTATGCTCAACCAGTTGTACCTAGCCTTTCATTGATCCGCATTTCCAAAAGCCGACGGAGACCCCAGCGCTAGCAGGAGGCGGCCCCTGAAGTAGCCCAAATGGCGCAGCAGGTGGCCCTTGTGAGGGTTGCCCGTCACAGCTCGCAAAATGAGTTGGCGGCAACACCAAAGGGCAAGGCACGAGAGGTCAACACCAAACACCGGCAGGTCGCACCCAGGCACCCAGGGGTCAGATTGCTCTGTTGGTATCGGGGCATTGCATCCAAAAAATCCACAGACCGACCATACAGCGCAGGAACCGCGGGCACCACCCAGCTTTGCCAAACCAGCGCATTGCCCATGTTTACATCATAAGATCTTTCCCTTGGTCTGCCCCTGGCATAACAGCCTCCAATTCCTTGTTGACCTGATCCAGGTCACCCTGCTGGTACGCAAAGTCCTACGGGATTTTTTCTGTTCCAAAGAGTCTGCCTTGCTGCAGGTCGCTCCTGCACGGCTTGCTGCCACAATGCCCGGCTGTCGTAGTAGCCCTGGGCACGCTCGATGACAGCCCTGCCGATCTCCTGAAGCAATCGCCGCTGAATTTTCGCACCGATGGGTTCAGAATGAACGCTCTGAAGGAGGAGCCAGACCAGAGATCTGAGCAAATGAGGGGGGGGGGAACAATCACCCCAAACAAGCAGCGAACGTGCAAGAAACTCATCCAGCGAACCAACCAATCACCCAGTCAACCAGTCTCCCAATCATCGTGTAGATAAGCTGCCGAGCCTGCTCACCTGCCTACCAACCAACTGACCGAGCAACCAATCCAAGCATCCAGCCGCAGAGAGCAAAGAACAGATTAACCATCAGGGTCTCTGCCAGGCCAATCTATTTCCAAGCTCCAAACATTCTCAGCTATCTTTCACACACAGTATGCGGTGCCCTGTCCTGCATGAGAGAATTAAACTCTGCGACCCAATCCGTCAGAGTTTTCATGTGGACCTGCCATGCAAACGTTGAAACTATGTTCACACCAGTATTCAGGATGGCAAGCCTCGTCCATTTCCCGGCATTCCTGTGTAATGGCTGCAACCTGCTGCTCTGCCTGCACAGGCTGTCACAGCTCGATCTAGGTTTGGGCGGAAGATGAGTGCCAAAACCAGAAGAAACCATACCCTGCAATCTCCCGCAGCTGGAAAGCATGGAAGGGTTTTGACGTAGGAACTTGACATCTTTTAGCCGCCGGACAGGGTCAAAGCATGCAGCCTCAAGCGCTGCCCCTGCAGCTACTGCTATGACGTTCGCGCCGCTCAAAATACAGAGTTCGCAAAGGAGCCACAACGAGTTCGTGTGTGTCGCAACAAATATGAACTGGTTTTGCCACCCTCAAGAGGCAGCGTTAGACCACACTAGCAGCTCAGCTCACCCAAGGCAGCATTTGTCAACTCAACCCTTTAAGCAACACGAGTGCAAGACTCAAGGGGTGCGCACGCTGATAGAATTGCATACTTCAGAGAGCCCTCCGGCCTTGGCAAGTTCTGGCCGAAGAGCACCAGTCCTTGCGCTCGACATTTGCTGGTGCTCTGGTCGCCGCAACGTGCCGTCTCACTTGCGGAGACCATTCAAGCAAAGGTGATCAGGGTCCTCTGTTTTGGTGGATTAAACGATATGCTGTCTTTCCCGCGGTCCAACACTTGATGGGCCATGCTTCATGCGCCTGGCTTGGAAGCCATGGGGAAGGCCAGGGGGCACAGCGTCTCGCTCCTCGCTCTCCTAGGCCCGTCGGAGTCGTGACACGTCGAGCAGCTTTTGCCCAGCCTCGTTTGACTCCTCGTGCTCCGCCGTCGAGCCTAGCTCTGTCAGGTCCATGTCTGCCGTGGACGAAACTCGCAAATTATGTGTGTGTGTGTGGGTTATGGTTTCCTGAACAAACACAATTTGGGTTCTTGCACATGCCTCGAAGCCCACGTGAAAGGGCCACGGCTGAGAGTCGAACTGGCGGCCTGCAAGGCTGCTTTGTCCTGAAGGGGCACAGCTGCCGCATGAGCTGTGAAACTTGGTGCCGCCTCGCGTGCCTGAACCAGCAGGGTGGCACCCTCAGGCGACAGGACCTGACCCCGGCCAACTGTCCATTGAAGTAGACACACTTGGCAGACCTTGTCCAGCGGGTGCTCTTCGATGCACTTCAGCACCTGGCTACTAAGCTTGAGCTAGAACAAGCCGTCAACATAGTGACATGAGAAATTGAAGAATGATCCCCGCACTGGCACGTTTCAGCGAATGCTGCCACTTGCGTCAATTGGCATCGGGGCAGGAGGGAAATAAAATCCTCACTAGTTCAACGATTCTTCACATGCCAGCTGGAAACCCCCTCTCCCTATTAAACCTTTTCAGTTCTGCCCTGGCGTTGTCTCTTGGCAGTGTTGTGGAGGGTTTCGCGTGGGTTTCCTTGAGGTTTTGCGCGGGTGTCCGGTCTGTCTCTTGTGTCATAATCTGCGAAGGCGTAGTGTTCCTTACGTTTGCTAGAACCTGCAAGCCCGTTCGGTTTCTGGCGAGTTTCCATAGTTTTGCTTGAAGGCGTCCAGACTCGTTCACCGCATGCTGCATCACCCCGAGAGCCTCTGGATCGGCCCAGGGACCCTTCACCGCCCTCATGCAAGACAACGGGTCCTCGGATGCGTCTCACGTATGGAGTTCACTTGGAGCGCTGCCGGTCTTGACACTCGGCGCACCTTCCCGTCACACCGGCACTTGCCACCATACAAAGAAGGCCTGGGCAACGTGAGCATCCGGATGACGCACATCTTCCTTCCTTGGACGACGACAACTGCTCCGCATCGACCAAGTCCAGTAGGCACTTCACATATGCCTGTGACCAGGGGCAAATGGGCAAAGTGCAAATGTCACATGTCAGTAAGATACATGGGACTCGGCGGCCTACCTCCCTCTGATCGCTGCCGAAGATTGAGATCTTTGCCACAGTCTTCTCATCCAGCTGTGGCTTTATGAAAGACCAAGCAATGCCAAAGACTTTGGGCGCGTTGATGATGACCATCCTCGCAGACTTGATGATTCACCATGTGACTTCATGTTGCTGCCTTTTTCTATGAGCGTTGAGGCGCCTCCCACTGCACTCGGGATAATGGCTCTGCAGCATGGAGACAACATCCTTGACGACTTTGCGGGCAGTCGTATGAGTGACCTGTGGCTGAAACGAGTCTGTGACTTGCCAGTGCGTTCCTCAGCTTCCAGCAATACGAAAGCTGAGGCCCTCCAGGTCCATGATGTTCAGGGACCTGATTGGAAATGGGCAGCTCCAATATTTGGGGGGCATCGTGGGGATCGCTGGACCCTAGGACGTCTCCCACTCACTGTGCGCAGTGCTTGTCAACGACCTCGCCCTTGACAAGTGTGCACGCCTCAGAGAGTGATGGTCGGGTCATTGTGAGCTGGCATCCAAGCAATGCACCACAGGCAGAATCCCAACTAAGGGCAAGTGCTGGCAGTCGGCGCCGGATCTGCAGTTCAGATTGTGCATACACATACCTGCGGGCTGCTCAAATAGGAGCGAATGGAAACACGCTGGCCAAAGCGCACTGAAGGATCCTTTCACAAGTGGTCACCTGACACAGGAACGAAGAACGCGCATTCCAGCAAAGCATACGACTAGCCTGCAGCAGTCTTGGCATGTCAATCTGCCCAGGCCGCTCGATGTACAGTGGGCCTGACAAATGGCTTAGCCACAGAAAACTGGCGCACACTACGCTCAATGGCTAGAAGACAAGCTCTTGGGCTGGTCAATGTTTGTCCCGCCGACTGCTGCATTCGGATCCGAGGCAAGAACGTCCGCTTTTGTCTGTCCCGTGATACGCCTCCCAAAGTGCACGCTGTTCTCTGGGGGCAACGAGCGTGTTTGGCATGTGCGGCAGGCACGCAAGCAGCCATACGCTTGCAAAGCGTCTCCTGTGGGTAGAAACGCTTGATGTGAACCTGCAAGGGGAGTGCAGTGCCGCCTGGAGTCTTGCTAGCAAAACGTCAGTCTGTAGCCTCCTCTGGAAAAGGATCCTTGAGGAGTTGTTCCATGTTCGTCTCCGCGAGCCACCTCATGACAGCACTGTTGCCAAGAACGAGCCAGTGGCCAATCACACCTGTAGTGGCCCTCCAGCATGGCGACTGCTTTCTCCACGTCCCACCTAAAATCTTCGCATTCAGAAGCAACAGCAGGCTTCGAGGCCCAGACTGCCGCGCGATGAGGAAGCGCACCAGCATATGGTCCGATCGCATGTACGAGATCTTGTCCTGGCAGGCCCCATGGGCCCCGCGGGCCCCGTGGGCCCCGTGGGCCCCGTGGGCGGCTCTGGAGGGCTCGCTGGAAGCTTTTGGGCCCGCCTCGGCTGAGCCAGGCTTCGGACCCTGTGGGCCATTGACTCGGCGTCGGAGCGCCTCCAGGCGGGCGGGGCCATCCTGAGCAGCCGCTCAGACAAGCCGCAGCCGGCGATTGGATCGTTTTCTCAGCGTCTCGCCACCCCTTGGGGGATGGTCTTGAGGTTGTTGCCTGATACACAATATGATTGGGAGAAACAAGAGAGCGCGTCCCTGAGGAAGAGACCCCACATCGACTCATCACGGAATGGTCGTCAAATTTGCGCGCGGCATCTCTTGACAGGATGCAACAATGCTGCCTCAAGGCTAGTTTGTGTGGCGGAGCTTGTCTGCTAAGGCACAGTTGCAGAGTGCCCAACAGACCATGAAAGGCTGCTGGCTTGCCACATTGCAAGTCTGGCGTTGTGTTGGGCACATGATGCAACTTGACACAGCATGAGCCAAATCGGATGTAAACAGGACATTCCAGCTCCCAGCTACAACGCCGCACTACATCCCAAAGCCAGGAAATGTGCTGGCTTGTCCCTGCAGCCTTAAAGCTGGGCTGCTACCAGCTCCTGCGTTGCACCTCCGGGCTTGATTTTCCGGAAGACGCACCTCACTATCTCAAGCATTGCGCTGAATGGCTCTTCTCACCTCGCTCGAAGGCCAGCGAGATGCCATTTCCACAAAGCCAAGCCATGCCTTCTTTTTCGAGTCGTTGTCTGGAATCTTCACAACCTCACACAACGAGCCAGAGCAAATGCGCCAGCCTGCAACTTCAGCATCCAGCCAAAGTGTGCTGATACCAAGCCTGGAGTAGTGCCCACGCAAGCACACAAGCCGGCATGACGTGCGTAAACACCGAGAGAGAGAGAGAGAGAGATCACATGCATGCCTGCTCAAGCGCAAGTGAGCGCCTTCGGATCTGGCTTGAATTTGTTGGAGTGTGGAGTCTGCGCCGGCTCACCATAGTACCTCCAACCGCAGTAAGAGCAACATAGATCGCGCATCCAAGCCCCACGCCTCTTGTAGAACTGCTCCTGAGGTGTGACGAGCTAAGCCAGGACATGGAGTTTCAGCTGTGAATGCTGGGTACAAGGCCATGTCCACCACTGACTTGTGAGGGCTTGCTTCAGGCGCTTCGGCGCCGACTTGGAGGCTCACAGGCCGATTGAAATCTGGACTGTTCTTCAGCGCCACAGCCATGGCGCTAGCGCACCTCAGAGAACGGCTCGAATGGGTGGCACGTCCTCATGCGTTGGGGGCGACCGAAAGTCCGCCTCTAGAAGGCACGCACGCCCCCCTCCCCCCCAACTTGTCTAACAAGCCAAGTTTAGGCAAGAGACGGGAGCTTGCTCGGCACACGGGCTGCTATCGAGCGCGTGTTTCTGAGACCGCGAGTGTACAGGACTGAAACATAACATGCGCATACACCCCTTGCCATGCTGTGTTCAGCCTCTCGCTATTCAAGCTCCAGAAACGGGGGCCGCGGTAACAAATGTACAACAAGGCTTGCTCAAGGCACCAGCCGTCCACGGAAAGCAGCTGCTCGCCCATGTTCACAGCAACCCGCTTCTCGAGCGAGTCAGAGTCGCAAGGATGAACCAAGACAGCCTTCGAATTACAGTGCCCACTGTTACTGGAAGCAGCGAAGCCTGGCACAGGCTTGCTGACAGTGAGTGCCCTGTACGGCAAATGACTTCTTGAGACTACTGAAAGTCCAGAAGCAGCTCTGTCCACAAGAAGGCAGACTTCAGGGGTGGACAACAAGTATTTGTTGCTCACACATGCAAAGCAGAATGCAGGTATATGTGAATATGCATACACATAACCATTGCACAAGTATGCATAAGTTGCATACAGGTGCGTGGTTGTGAGCACTCCTTGTATGTCTTGTCTGCGTGTTTTCCCCGATGCTCACGTTTTTGGGGTCTGCCTCTGGGACCTGTCCTAAGCTGCAACATTTCATCCTCGGCGGCCCATTCGCAAGTGACGCATGAGCGCAGACTTATCCTGAGCATCGGCTGTTGACCCTCTCATGTCCAGTCGGTGCACTTGCAAATATCACCGCAAACTGAGCGCCAGTCGACATCCACGGATGGCTTTGACGAGGCCTCAATGTGTGCCTTTACAAAAGCCATGCCACACCTTTCACATCGTGCTGCTGCAAAGCTGCCTCATCCTGTGTCTTGCGAGCAGCCCTTTCCGCCTGCAAGGACGAAGCACAGCACCACAGGAGTGCTGCATTGCCAAGTTTTCCACAGCCACCGACCTGAAAGAAAACCAGGGCCTCGCGCTCCTGCTGACAAAGGCGTCGGAGCTTGTCCCGGGGAGCCCCGGAGCTGCCTTTGCCGCGGCCTGACAGCTGTACAAAACAAAATTGTCATCTCTCGTTTTAGATAGAGCAACATGCCGCTCGAGAGCAGGAGCCTTGGCCTTTTCGGATGGGTTCCTCCTGCAGAGGTGTGCAACGACAGAGAATGGGAAAATCAAGTTCGGCGCTCACTCCATGGCAAACAATCAAGCACCCCCCTAGTGACTTAGTGGCCAACGGTCAACTCTTCCTTGTGCGACGAAGCGGAGGAGATAACCTCCGGCTGCGTGTCTGCCTCATCCGAGTCAGAGATCTTGCGCTGCCGCACAGGCGGCCTGGCGTCAGGTGAGTCCTGTTTCTTACCCAGAAAAAGTGTTGCGTCGGAGCCTTGGCGCTTTGCGAAGTGGAGGCTGTCGAGCGGATGGGCGATCCTATGCCAGCGAACACACACAGTTGAAGCGCCGCCAGAGAAGCTGGAGAAAACAACACCACTGTCCTGCGTCCACTTCTGTGGTCGCTTGGGCTCGGCGCCTCTCCATTGTGATCGCCAAGCCTCCGACCAGGAACCTTCGCCCTTATCCTCCCATTGCACGTCCCAGCTCTTGATGTCCTCACGCCGGTCGTAATCACGACGACCCTGACCTTTGCCCCACAAGTCGCTCCACTTCGGGTTCTTGCCTTTTCCCTTGCCCTTCCAGCCGGGTGGAGGAGCACTCTCCTCGTATGAGTCAATGCTCCACTTGCGATTCCAGGATTTGTTTTCTGGAGCCTTCCACGTCTCTTCTTCCCAGTTCTCTGCATATTCCTGGGGATACTCCTGTGGATACTCCTGCGCGTACTCCTGGGGATACTCCTCTGCGCATTCCGGAGGATACTCAGCAAACTCCTGGAATTCCTGATACTCTGGGGTATATTCTGGATCCTGCGGCAGAAATTCGCTGGCAGCAGCAGACATGCCAGCTGCGGCTTCCCCCGGAATAAATGGCAATGCGTTGCAAGACAAAGAACCCTTGCTTTCAGCAGCGATCGTCTCCGATTGGAAGCTGGTGAAGCTTGGTGTAAACACTGGTGCATCTGCCGACAATCGACTCAATGTTGGTGGCGGCGGGGGCGGCGTCTGCTGTGGCCAATGCGGCTGCTGCGTTGCCGGTGGCCTTGGCACGGCTACTACCCAACTAAAAGCAGGAGTCTATGAACTGCTGAGACTCACAAACACCAAGATCCGAAGATCCGCAAAACGCGGCGATTATGCTCCTCGCGGTGGTGGCACTGGTGGCGGCGGCGGTGCGCTCAACGGCGGCTCTGGCAGCAGGGCCTTCTTGGAAGCCTCCCAGGGTGTGGAGCATCTGGGGCATGGGCGATGGTGTGGGGTGCATGTGAGGCCTCTGCCACGGCAGCCCATTCATCTAGGGCAAGATCAATAGCGGATTGCCGGCCCAGGAACAGCAGGGCCCTTGCACGAGGCCCCCTGGCAGAGACAGTCGTCCACATGCAAGGCCTTGAGATGCCCGGCCTCTGCAGGCCCGTTGTGCCTCCGGCAGCCTCCTGCCGTTCAAGAAGTGACGGAGTCACGGCATTCAGCTGCTTTGGCATGTCCTCGATGGGTGCTTGCGCCAGAGTTGTGGCCTGTCGAGTCTGTGCTACATGCCCTGAGGTGAACTTTGAACCGCATGAGGTTGTGCTTCTGAACGTGTGTCCGGATTCCCATCGTTGGTCTGGCAGAACTGATCATGTGTGAAGAATCGGTTGTACCCACTCGTGAAACAGTACATGATGGTTTGCAAGGAACAAATGTCAGAAGCTGTATACATGTCATCCGTTCTGCTCTTTCTATTTCTGGTGCCTGCCATGCACCATCGGAGCATTGCTCGGCAGTCCGCTGCAGGCGAAGAGCAGCTTCGGCACCTGAAACACAGCAGGGGCTGGGCTCATTGCGGCCCCCAGAAACCGATGTGCAACGGCCGGGTCTGTGGGTGCCGGGCTTTCACAGATGGCCAGGCCGTCGAACAAGGCGACCAAGCCATGCTTGCCCTGCGGCATGTGACATATTCCACTGCATCATGGCAACTGCAAAGACTACATTGCGTCTTGCCTCTAACAATGCGAACATGCACAAGAAAGCTCCGACTTCTCTGTTCATTCTGTTCGCTCTTGGAACAAAGAGGCGCACCGTCTGGAGCCACCATGGAGGGCGCTCACCTCCTTTCTTCCCCTTGCGGAACAGCTTCACCTCCGCGCGTTGAGAAGTCAGAGCAGCGCAGTCAACCAAAGAGGCAGCACACCAACGCCCGCCCCGCTGCCTGCCCCGCTGCCTGCCCCGCTGCCTGCCTGCCTACCTGCAAAGACTAAGTCTCCCGCGACGTGTTCACGCGAGGCCAGGTCGGGGCAAACGCCCGACTCCAGGCTCAGGGCCTTGACCAAACAACGGTTCAGGCTTTTGGATGCAACAGCCTTGCGATAGAAGCGCATGCAACTGACCCAGCCCGCGGCCGACAACTCTGTAGGCAGGCTGCGACCTGCGCTTGTGCCACGCCAATTGCATGGGAGGCTTCTCAAGGCCCCGGCCCAACGCGCCCACGGCAACCTGCCAGGTTCAAATGGCAGGCATGACACGTGTCCAACACCCACACTTGGATTCGCGAGAAGAGCCACGAAAAACGGCTTGTTGTGACACAAGCAACGGACAAATGAGAGCGGCAAACCCTCACAAGCACACAGCCTTTCGAAGGACGCCGCTGCGCTGAACTCGTTGCCTGAAGATCCTGCCCCATGGAAAGCCTCGGGCCGCGCTGCGCGGCTTCGCGAAGCCGCGCGGCTTCGCGAAGCCGCGCGGCTTCGCTTGGGGCGTCCTGGAGCCTCTGAGCCCTCCACGGCCGATGCCTGCCTCCACAAACATCCCGCCGTCATCCAAGCCTAGCGCAGTCAGTCGGACCCCTCAGAGACGAAATGGAAATGGCTGTGCCTTGGAAGGCTCCCATGCTGGCCCCAGCGTAGGTTGCAAGCCAGAAGGTAGCAGAGCGCCTCACACGGTGAAGCCATGCCTGCAACAGCAGGTCCTTCCTCAGCCAGGCACGTGCCAGACGAGGCTGTCGTGACCTCCTGGACGTTTTCATGGCGGGCGGCATTGCTCCCACCCAACCAGTCCACAAGATTCGGTCCTCATCTTGCCATGCCACAGTGCGGCAGTCCGTGTGTTCGCCTTGAACTGCCTGCCAGGAGCAACTCGTGCCATGAGAACTTGTCAGCCAGAGTCGGCACCTGCTCTCCAAGTCCCAGCTTCAGGCACCAGCGAGGCTCGCCTCTCTAGAAACTGTGACAGTCAAAGGCACGTGTAAAAATATGCGGTGCCTGTGGGTGATGGTCCGTGCGGTGATGGCTGAACCTCAGGTGCAGCCCCAAGTGGCTACAAACTGGATATGGTTCAACAGCTTTGCTGAGCCAAAGGCGAGCAGCACGTGGAAATTGGCCGACCTCGCAGCCCTGACAGGCCAACATCACGAGCACAGGCGCACAAGCAAGCAAGCCAAGCGAAGCGCAGCAAAGCCAAGCGACGCGAAGCGAAGCCAACAAGCCTTTGCATCTGGCGGGGCTCGTCGTGAAGCCCTTGGAGCAACCTGTTGAGCGACTCCTGCTGAGCAACAAGGCTGAATTGCGTCTTCTCAACACGTTCGGCTGTTGGGGAACACATTTAAAGTAGATACGAAAGGCTGAGAAAACAAGGTCAAGGACTGCGTGCGGGTGTGGGTAACTGTGCCTGCGCCTGTGCGAGTGCGTCCGCGGCCCAACATGACCTGTTGTGGACGTGGCGGAGTGGGCCACA